GCAAGTCCCAAGTTTATAGTGACGCTGGATGGTGTCCCCAGCCCCCCAGGATACATGTCAGATCAAGAGGAGGACATGTGCTTTGAAGGAATGAAACCCGTAAACCAAACTGCAGCCTCAAACAAGGGACTCAGAGGTCTCCTCCACCCACAGCAGTTGCAGTTGATGAGCAGGCAGCTTGAGGACCCTGATGGTAGCTTTACCAACGGTGTGTTGAGAGCTCAGACTTGCCCTTCTCAGTATGCTGGCTTTGTGAAAGGAGCCTGCCTTTCTATACCTTGGCTGAATATTGGTTTCAGGCCTTGCTTTTATTTATATTAAGTAATGGCCTTTTTTCTTCTTTCAGACAAAACACTAGTTAAATTTTAGACTGTTTCTCCTGTGTGTGCTTCACAGGCGAGCTGTTACTGTGGTGCTGAAATAGAGTTTGGCCACAGGATCTCAATAATGTCAGTTACGCTTGCTAAAGGTTGAGCCATCATTCTTGATGCTTTGGTTCCTTTTTTTGCTTTAGAACCTCTGTCACTTTCTTTCACCTTGTACCAGTAGCAATCTCTGTCATAATTAATTTGAGAGAAAGATGGATTTGGATTTGGATGCTCTTTCTTCCTCAGTAAAATCTCTTTGAAGGGAGGTGTTCTCACCTAATATGTCAGGATGCTTCTTGGAAGCATAGGAAAAACCTTATGTTTACATTAATACTGAATAGTATTTAGCAGAACTCAAATGAACTAGGTTCAGATGGTCACATCCTTTTATACAGATGAGTATTTGTTGCCACCACTTCATGTCCTGTAGGTGGTACTAGTGGCAGCTGCAGCACCACTGATCCTTTTCATTCCTGATGGAAGAGGTTGTAGAAACACCTCTTCATAAGGAGGAGAGGTATTACTAAATCTTAAAAATGACCAGATTGATCCGGCCGCCAGTGGCTCACCTCTGTAACCCTAGCTACTTGGGAGGCTAAGATTGGGAGGATCACAGTTTGAGGCCAGCCCAGACAAACAGTTCACAAGACTCAAGCTCCAAAATAGTCAGAGCAAAATGGACTGATGGTGTTACTTGAGCCAGTAGAGTGCTTGCTCTGCAAAGATGAGGCCCTAAGTTCAAGCCCCAGTCTCACACACTGAAACACAAAAAGAATAGATTCAAAGAAGAAACAATAATAGATTTTGACATTTTTCCTAAGTAATCTTTCTGGTAGAGACATGAAAATGTATTGAATGCTTTTCCAGTCACTAAAAATACTATGGTATGTTATGAGGGAGATCATGAGCTAGTGCGATATCATCTAGTATCTTTGAGTGCTTTTCCTTGTGAATCAGTGACATGGTGTCATAGTTTTTGTTTGTGGAAGGAGTTGGAAATCTGACCCTATCAACAAGAAGTAAAAATAAAATAGTAACAAAGTCAGAGCCACAATAGGCAGTGCAAATTTCTTGACCCCATATGTGTTGTCTAAGATAAGGAAATTCAGGTGTTTTTACTGCTCTTGGTTTTGATGCTTGATAGCTTAATACTTTAGTCTGTTATGATCCAGTTTAAAGGTAGGTGTCCTTGTCAGGCTGTGTTAGTGTATGTGTAGTAGTAGTGACGCCATCATCACAATTCTTGCCTATGTTACACAAGTGCCATTGTGGAGACAGCTGGGATGAGTGGTGAGCCTCCTTTCCCAGTGCTTTCATTGGGGATTTGTGGTGTTTTGGTGCTTTCCAAGAGGCTTTTTAGTAATCAGAACAGGAGTGTGGACAGAGAGACTCTTGCAGAGCAGTAACAAGAAGTCTCTGGTCTCTTCTTTCACCATAAGTAGGGAGCATTGATTTTTTTTGCTTTTTGAGTTGGTATCTTGGGTACATTGTTTTGGGATGTTACCAATGGCAGCATCTACTTCAAGCCATCCCCACAGGCCCACCAATATATGGCAACACAGATTTTACAGCTTTCCATAAAAAGTGAATTTGCTCTTGAAACTTAAAGCTTATGAAGTAAAATGTTAGTGAGGAAAATGACTTTGACCTTTCTGTATATAGCTTAACATTTCCATCACAAAGAAAACATTTCCTTGTGAAGTATTTAACTTCTTCAGTATTATTCTTTTAGGGGGTGGGGAACTGGTACTGCGTTTGAATTTATGTCTTTCTGCTTGCTAGACAGACTTTGTGCTGCTTGAGCCACCAGCCCCAGCCCTTAATGTTCTTGAGTCCATGTTCTAGCTAACCTGCTCTTTGAAATTCTAATCTTTCATTTCTCCTGGGTCCTCAGATGCATACAGTAGTGTAATGTATGCTTAGGGAGGGGTCAGGACATGTTCTCTCTCCTCCCCAACCCACTCCAGAGGTAAGCAGCTGATCATGGCCTGTAGATGTAATTTTACTTTCTGTGTGTGTGGTCCAAATTTAAACTAGTTGAACATTTAAATTTTTGATTAAAAGATAGGGTTTTTGTATATTGAAATGGAACATCTGGCAACCTAGGGTAGACCCTCTCTCTCATAATTGGCAGTGTTCTTGGACACAAGTGCAGGAGGCGTGAGCTCTGTAAGTGGTGCACATACTTGCTTTTCCAGGTTACTTGTTCCCCACCTATCCCTTAAATTCTTATACTCTGCCAGACTTGTTCTGTTAGGTGACCTGCCCCACCTGTAGGCAGAGGCATTTGTGACCCATTGTAGATAAAGATGTTCTCCTCTTTTTTTAGACCTGGACTTGCTGAATGAATATACCTTAGCAAGTGGCAACACTTTTATTTGAACACTCATAATCTTACTAGAATATGGGAATTAGTTCATACTTCCTTATGGCCTTGTGTTTTCAGTTTCCATCTATTTTTATTGGCTCCCTACTTGACATCCTTCCTTGTCTTTTATATTTAATTCAGTTTGAAACAACAGAGATTTAGAACTTTTGGTGAAAACTTCAGCCATAGGTGCAGAATCACTGTTCACTTTCCTTTTTATAATGAAAACTGTAGACTCCTTCTTGGCTATTTTGTATGGTATTATAACCAGTGTTAATCAGATTATTTGGGTTCATTATTTTGTAGAACTGTAAACATAAGATTTTTAAGAATGATGTTTTGCCCTTTCGAACATTGATTTAGAAATCAATGATGAAAGACAGGCTATAAAATTGGGTGTTTGTGTGTGTCAGTGTGTGTGTCAGTGTGTGTGTCAGGGAGGAGAGGTTACAGGCCATAATCAGTTGCTCGCCTGAAACACCTTACAATTCCAGTGGGTGAATGGAGGTGATTAAGATGGGGGAATATGGTTGATGGAGTTCATATACATCTATGAAATTGAACAATGAAATTTCTTGCAGTTGATTTAAGTGGGGTGGGAAGGGGTCAAGGGGATGAGATGGTGGGAGTAATCTAACCTGTGTACAATATAAGCCTATTTGCAATTGTCACAATGAATATATTCTAATAAAAAAATTTTAAAAGAATAGGGTTTGGGTGAAACTTATTACAAGGACCATGTACTGAATTGATCACAATGCAATACTTTTAATTACTTCCCCTTTATAGCTGAGATGAGTGAACTGAGCATGGCACAGAAACCAGAAAAGCTTTTGGAGCGCTGCAAGTACTGGCCTGCTTGTAAAAATGGGGACGAGTGTGCGTACCATCATCCCATTGCACCTTGCAAGTGAGTAACCTCACCATGATGCTTGTTTTCAATTTAATTTCTTTTTTTTTTTTTTCAATTTAATTTCTATACCTACAGCTTTTTTTTTTTGATAAGTTTTGAGTTTTGTAAGTGGCCCACATCTAACAGTGGCCCTCCCTAGAGCCCCGTATTTGTACATACGTGCATTTGATGTGAAAGGCAGTTCCTTTATGCTTCAGTGAGATACTGAAAGGTCTAGGGTCCCCCTGAGGATTCTGTACATTGACGGAGCAAGGTATATGATAACAACCAGTTAGTGTGCATTTGTTTCCAGACAAATGGATTTTGTGAGGGGTTAGTTATAAGCAATGAAGAAACAGTCTAGACTTGAATTAGTTTCCCATAGCACCTGGCTTGTGAGATGGCTTTTAGGTGTTTTATTTTGTTTTTATTTTTATTTATTTACTTTTTGGTCCTATGGTTTTTTTGGCCCATGTTTCAAGTATAAAGAAATTTTGACTATGTAACGACTATGAAATGTGCTTACTATATTGCATTACCTCATAAAATGTAACATTTACTGATGAAGTGACATGACTAAATCACAAAACAAAGCTACTTTTGTCCCTCACAATGTTCTGCCTTGAGTGAAAAATCTGGTTGTGTTACTTCAGGCTTTGAAATATAGTTGTGTCCTATTTTGATATGTAGCATCATTTAAAAATGGGAGTTTGGGGCATGCCTATAATCCCAGCTACTCAGGAGGCAGAGATAGGAGTATCTCAGGTTAAGGCCAGCAATGCAAGGCCATTCTGGGCAAAAGTTAGTGAGACCCTCTCTCAAAGAAACAGTTTGGCTGTGGTGGTGTATGTCTATAATCCCAGCTACTCAGGAGTCAGAGGTAGGATAATCAGAGCCTGAGGCCAGCCTGGGCAAAAAGGCGACCCTACCTAAAAAACAAACTACTGCTGAAGGACTGCAGCACAGCTCAAGTGATAGAATGCTTGGCTAGCAAGTGTGAGGCCCTGAATTCAGTCCCCACTACTACCAAAAAAGGGAGTGGGGGAGTATTTTCTTTTTATTATGGTGATGGAAATTGAACCTGTAGGACTTGGTTCATGCTAGGCACGGGCTGCACCATTGAGCTACATCTACTTCTTTTGCATTTCTCAAAACAGTTAGTGACAAAGTACAAGTCCCTCACTGAGAATTTTATATATGAATAATACACTATTTTTGTTTTGTAGAGCCTTCCCCAATTGTAAATTTGCTGAAAAATGTTTGTTTGTTCATCCAAATTGTAAATACGATGCTAAGTGTACTAAACCAGATTGTCCCTTCACTCATATGAGTAGAAGAATTCCAGTACTGCCTTCAAAACCAGGTTAGTGACTTTGTGCACTATTGCATTTGGGTAAAAATATATAAAATATCTTCTGGAACTAAACACATAAAAGTAGTTTTAGAAATAATTCTGAACTATAAAAAACAAGTATGCCTCCTCTATAGAAGTGTTTTATTCTGACCAGTGCATATATAAAACTAATTTTCACCTCCTTACAAACATCAGTAGACTGCATTAAAAATTATTTTGCCAAACATCTGACCAGTCTTCATTCTGATTTTTGTCAGCAGTTACAGCACCAGCGCCATCCCCTAATGGTCAGCTCTGCCGCTACTTCCCAGCTTGTAAGAAAATGGAATGTCCCTTCTATCATCCAAAAGTAAGAATTTAAATTTTCCCCAAAACCGTTTCAGTAATAACTTCTCACTCTGAGGTCTGGAAGATCACTTAGAAATTGAATGTCTTGTCTTTTTTCCTTCCCAGTTCAATTTCTTTCTAGTCTGTAAGACCTGTAAGTTTTTCCTTCCTTATTGAGCTCTGTCCCATTAGACCAAGTGGTTTGAAACTCCTTGTGTTACTGTCCTAAGTTCTCGGGGAAGGGGTGCAACTTTGCTTGTTACATTGTTCTTTTGTGCACCTAGCATTTGGATGTTTCTTAACTTCATGCCACAACTGAGATGAATTCCAATAGTACTGCTTATACTCATCCGTATATCCAAATTATACTCATGCTTTTTTGCTAGAATGTAAAGATTGATTTATTGTATCTCCAGCTAGCCAGCTGCTCTGAGTGAATCCCTCTGAGATAGTCTGAAGACTCTGGAGGCTTTCACTTCCCAGTGGCACCTGGATGGATGAGGGGACTCTGTGAGGAGTGAGGGAGGATGTTAGGCAGAGTGTGCAGTGGTGATTGCTACACTGATTAGAAGTTTATATGGGACTCTCAGGTTGTTTTGAAATTTTACTGCTGTGATTCTTTGACTAGGATTTTGCATCTTAAGAGAAGGTTACTGTCTTAAGGCTTTAGAAGTATGAAAATGGATGTTACCAGATCTCTTCCTCCATTAACTTAGGGTGGGCTAAGTACTGTCATCTCAAATTGTGTGTTTACTTGTAGTAATCTTGTGGATGTTGTTGAAGCTTTGTTGTTTCTGTTCAGCACTGTAGATTTAACACTCAGTGTACCAGACCTGACTGCACATTTTATCATCCCACCATTACTGTACCACCAAGACATGCCTTGAAGTGGATTCGGCCACAAACCAGGTAAAGATTTAAATTAACTTTTCTGATGTCAGTCACTTTGATTTTTTTCCTCTTATTACATTACAGGAGGGCCCTTAAGCAAAATGATTTACTCTGTAACTCGTTTTTTTTTTTTCCAGTGGTTACTTTTTTACTTAGATTATCTCTAGATCAGGTATCTAACTTTGAATTATATACTGTGCAGAAATACTGAGGTCAGCAGGAATGGTATGTGTGTTGTACATACTATGAGTCTCAACTCTGAGATACTAGTGACTATAAAATATTCAAAGGAAGTTTGAAGATACATATTTCATTATTTTTTAATCTGCCTTATATAATTGAATTCACTTCCAAAATCTGATACTGTAATTTGTCTGATGGTCTAAAACCATTTAGCCTTTTAGCTGAGGAGTATGGTATATATGGATGCAAAACAGCTCAATTAACAATTTTTTTTGTTTTGTTTATTCAGTGAATGACATGCAGTCTTACCTGGCAGAAGATCATGCAGTTTGAAAGCTTCCATCTACCAATGAAAGATATTCTACAGACTTGTCATACCTTTGAAATTTGGAATATATTGCTTTCATAATATGAAGTTTATTGCCTATCTGAAGTGTCTAATTTTTCAAGTTTGTAAGTTTATTAAGTGGTTTTAACATTGGGTTTTGTTGTTCCTGTTTTGTTACTATGAAAAGACAATTTAAGGAAAAGCTAAATTCTATTAAAACATTTGAGGCATGTTTGTACACTGCTGTTTAAGAATC